ATTGAATCGAGTTGAGCTGATAGTAGTTAATGCCAAACCAGTCAGACAGTCTTACTAACACCTTTCACTTCTTGTATTATTTCTTGTGTAATATATTCTTTGTTATTTCTACTGTTGTGTTTTGTGTTGTTCTTCCATGGTCCTAACCTTGGACCATAACAAGACGTAACAATTACCATCTCACAAACCTTTTTCTTTGTAATTATTATTATTATTATTATTATAGGTAATGGAGGTGCCAAGCAAACAGAGAGAAGCAACTGTTAAAGGACTGAAAGAAAACCAAGAACAAGAATTCCGTATTATTGCCAAAAATAAAGCTGGCAATTCAATGCCAAGTGCTTGTTCTTCACCAGTTATTACTAAAGCTCGCCGTGTAAAACCAAGAATTGATCCAGGCAGTCTAACAGACATTAAGATCAAGAAAGATCAGTCGTTTCTTTTGGAACCAACATTCATCGGTGAACCTCCACCAACTGTCACATGGAGCAAAAAAGGACTGGTGAGTTTTAGAGAATTGTCATTCATCTTTATCATTTTTTCTTCTTACAATCCTCAAATGTTTTCATCATAAATAAAAGAATCTAAATCTTTCAGAAAAATTAAAAATTCAGCATATTTTATAATTTTTTTAATCATTTATTTGATCCTAGATTCTCCATTCATATCTTCCTATATTGAATGAATGTAAAATATTTCACATTGATTTTAGATACCCTGTTGATCCTCAGGCACCTCGGCGTGGTGTAATGGTTAGCAAGCTTGTCTCGCTAGATCAATTATGACTGACTAGTGAGTTTGATCCTCACTGGGTGCCCCATACTTTCGGCCTTGTGCCATATCGTTTGGAGCACTTCGACATGGTGTAATAGTTAGCAGGCTAGATTAATTACAACTGAGTAGTGAGTTCGATCCTCACTGGGTGCACCATACCTTCGGCCCTGTGCCACATCTAAGCCTGGCTTAGAAAATCACTACCCTGTTGATCCTAGATTTTCCATTGTAATCTGCCTATATTGAGTGAATGGAAAATATTTCACATTGATTTTAGATACCCTGTTGATCCTAGATTTTTAGTTGTAAACTGCCTATATTGAGTAAATGTAAAATATTTCACATTGATTTTAGATACCTTGTTGATCCTAGATTTGCAGTTGTAAACTGCTTATAATGAGTGAATGTAAAATATTTCACATTGATTTTAGATACCCTGTTGATCCTAGATTTTCCATTCTGCCTATACTGAGTAAATGAAAAAGATTTCAGTCTGATCCCTGATACCTTGTTGATCCCTCTAATTTCCAATGCAATCTGCCTATACTGAGTAAATGTAAAACATTTCACATTGATCCTAGTTATCCTCATGATCCTAGATGCCCTATGATTTAAGATTCTTCATTGCAATCTCTCTATATTGAGTGAATGTAAAACATTTCACACTGATCCTAGATATCATTTGATCCTAAATACCATCTTGATCTTAAATACTCCTTTGCAATCTGGCTATACTGATTGAATGTAAAACATTTCACACTGATCCTAGTTATACTCATGATCTTAGATAGCCTGTTGATCTCAGATTCTCTATTCTAATCTGCCTATATTAAATGAATGTAAAAAAATTTAAACTGATCCTGTTGAACCTAGATTTTCCCTTGCATTGTTTATATTGAGTGAATTTGAAACTTTTCACACTGATCCTAGATACTCTGTTGATCCTTGACACCCTGTTGATCCTAGATTGCAATCCATCTATATTGAGTGAAAGTAAAAAGTTTCACACTGATCCTAGATATTCTGTTGTCATACCTCTACATTGAAAGTGTTTAACTCTTTTCTTTGTGATGCGAGACAGAATTGCCAGGGATCAACACTTTATTCCTTGACAAAGTGCAAATATATTCTGATCCCTAGCAGATATATGTCTTTGATTTTTCAACTGCACATATTTTCTGTTACTATAAACATCTCTTCACTGCACCTGTTTTCTCACAATTCAATATTTTTATTTCAGGATGGCAAGATTTTACCAATTCAGTCAACTCCCAATATTCCTATTGAAAATGAACCGAAAAAATCTCAGCTTTCTTGTAAGAGTGCTGTTCGGGCGGACACTGGAGAGTACTATATTTCAGTTGAAAATGAACATGGTTCAGACACAGCTTCCATGACTGTTGTCGTACTGAGTGAGTATAATTCCATTGTGCCAAAAATGATACATATTTAAATGTGGACCAATAAGTCTGTAGCTTGGCATATAAGCAGGGATGGATCCAGGGGGCATAGAGGGCACATGCCCCTCACTAAAATTTTTTCATCACCCACAGAAATTTCTGTTGGGTGATCAAACTCATCCCCTTGAAGTTTATAAAAAATTGAATGAGGCACTCAATGAGTGAAAGGAGATTTAACAAGTTTGTATGTTCGTAAAGACATTCAGTTAGATTATGATCAAATCATGAACTCCAAGCAAATAAGAATCCATGAAAATTGACTTTAGTACATCCTTTCATAAATGCTATATGATCACACTTTGAATCTAAAAGTTTGAATTTACAATTTTACATAACAAATAAATAAAAGAAAACACAAATTTAAATTTTTGCATATATATAAACTGTTTTGAAGCTCATAATTGTGACTAGACATCTGATTACTTCAAGCCGGGATCAAAACCTGACCAATTTGGTATCAGTCAGAGATTAAAATCCCTAGGCTATCAATACCCAGCACAGAGAAAGGCGAATTTTTACATATTTATTTTATCATAAACATGCCAGTGACCTAGAGAACTCAATCCAATTTGGAGAGTCTTGCATTATCAGCAGTAATAGTGACTGTTTACAAATTCAGATATAGATATGAACACTCTTCACTTATTTCTTATTTCTATAACCTAATATATATGTTCACAGAATTTAAAATTTTGAATTGAGATTTTTACTGAGGAGCACACCGTTTCTAATTGAAAATGCACTTGATAGGCATTATACAGAGAACATTATTCACTGCATAATGTTTCATCAATGTTATCAATATTTAAACTGGTATTTTGAAAATACCTGAAAACCATACCACGTGTTGGCCCAAGCCATGTGAGGGAAATTGGGTAAATAGAACTATTTGGGAACCATTGATGGTTGTATTAGCATGACATCACAAGTCATCATGACTGAGGGTTTGGACTTATTCAGACTGTTGATTGTGCCAGATAATGCACTCTCTCCCAGAAACTGTAACTAAGGTCTGTTCAGTATAGTCATAGTATAAACCACAGATAGAATCTGTGAATGTTGAATAAACACAAATGTGGCTGAGCAGGTGTCTGTCACAGGGATTGGCCAGTCACCCTAGTAGACAGTTTGTATGAAATAAATCATTTTTACATCACTAAACTTACTGATACTTACTTACTGATAGGCCAAAAGTTTCTTGATTTAAAGAATTGCCTAACAATTGAATGTTGCTTTCTTTTTTCAAAAATAATTTACTAGTTCTCTTTGCACCAGAAGGAATTTTTCTTCTTGAAAGTTTTAAATATATATATTCAATAATAATAATGAAATTAACCTATAACGGCATAAAGTTTCCTTAAAATTTTAACTCTTTTTACCTAAACTGCTTTGCTGGCAAATGTTAATCTTAGGGCAGGTGGATTTAAATTTTAGGAAACTTCCTCTCTAAAAAACTGTACTCATGGGTTTAATAATACACAGTATTAATTACATTTACTGGCCTGAATATGCTTTGATATATGTAAATGTAATTAATACTGTTTATTATGAATTACATATTCAGGCCAGGAAATGTAATTAATATTAGTAATGATCCAGTGAGGATTTTTGGTAATGATCTAGTAAGGATTTTAGTAATGATCCTGCAAGGATTTTTGGTAATGATCCAGTAAGGACTTTTGGTAATGACCCAATAAGGATTTTTGGAAATGATCCAGTAAGGATTTTTGGTGATGATCCAGTAAGGATTTTTGGTCACACTGGTTTTTCTATTGTGAAAATTTTGAGAGAAGATGTCTGCAGATTTAGTTGCCAATCTAGTAGATATTAAATTCAGGCAATTATAATGAGAGAGCTTGGAAGAAAAATTTATTCTCCATTTATATTTCCCCCATTATGGGCATGATTATATCCATGATATAATAACACTGCATTTCACAGATGGAACAGAATAACTGAAAGGAAAATGAATGACAAACATACTTTGTTCTCAGAGAGAGTTTTATAAGGCTATGTTGTACACAAAATTGTATATACACATGTCCCAAACAGAGTAATTATAACATATATGCAACTTTACTTGTAATATTCTCCAAAGGAAAACTGTAGTTACAGTGGTTTCTCCATGAAATTGGTGTGGTCATGTGTTTTTTCCTGCAAAAGGTGCCACTGTAGGCTAGGGACGTCCTTATTCTTTAGACTCTACATTGCAATTGGCCTTCATCGCTCTATCACCTGATGTGAATCTCCTGCTACCATGTGACCCTCATGACTATCTCAATGAAAGGGAGACAATCATCTTTTGTGACGATACACCGAGGAGGATAGCTCCTCAGAACAATTGCTATGAACATATTCATAGAAAAGGCAGGCAGCTACAAAGTGAAATTAGTGAGAAAGTGATTCAATTTGACATGCCAGGTCAGGATTATTTACATCGCAGATCCCTCTTTGAATATTGTCAAGAATCTTGAGATATATAATTTGTCGTCTAAATTATGCAAAAATAAAAATAACTCTGCCATCTCAACAAGGTGCGATGATTCATCTTTTGTATTACAAAGAGTTTTTGCGGTCTCTGACTCAAATGTGCTTCACACATAATAAACAAAGGGGTTGCAATCTGGGGGTTAGTTGGCTAGATGTAAGGGGTGATGTAGTCACAGAAATTGTCTGACAGCCATGACGAGTTCTCCTGCTTGTGTGGCATGGTGCAGAGTCCTGTTGCCAGACATAGGGTCTTCTAGCAGCCACGCTCTTGACCCAGGTCAGCATTACCTTCTCAAGGCACTTGATGTAGTCCTCTATGTTCTTTTCTTATCAGAATGTTCAGAGTGAGTTTCCAAGCTGCTGTACCTTTGTAATCATCATTAGACTCATCCAACTCTTTCCGAATCCTTTACCCTGACCCCAGATTGATACCAAACACTCTGAAATGTTACTATTGGAGCTTCCAGTGTGAATGCCAAGCAGTGCAGAATGCTGTTTCCAAATTTTTAGTGGTGTGAATTGCATCATGGTGCTCTATTATATCACCAACTGACCCTATTTATACTGTACAGTCAATAAAATAAAAAAAAATAACATGCACAAAATTAAAAATATAAAATGGTGACAATTTATCATTGCACACTGTAGTAAGAAAACCAGTGAAAACCCATTTGTTTTTATATGTAAAGTTTTTGTGATGTTTAAGAAAAAAGGAATTGCTTTTACAAAAAATACATAGCATTTAGAAATTCTCACTTACAAAAAATACATAGCATTTAGAAATTCTCACTTACAAAAAATACATAGCATATAGAAATTCTCACTTACAAAAAATACATAGCATATAGAAATTCTCACTTACAAAAAATACATAGCATTTAGAAATTCTCATATTGAAATCTATGATGCTGAGTCAAAAAGAAATGAATACAAAAGCAACCATTTTTTTTATTACAGGTAGCCCAAGCCGCCCAGAAGGACCTTTGGAAGTTTCGAATATTACCAAGGAAGGTGCTTTGCTTACATGGAAACCTCCTGCTGACAAAGGAGGAAGTGATATCACGTAAGTTAAGCAGGAACATTTATTTAACCCATTTAATGGCCACCATAAATTCTAAGACTCATCATCATCATCATCATCATCATCATCATCATCATCATCATCATCTCCTCCAGACAGGTAGACAGATCCTGAAGAAAACCGGAGCCTACAAGGGCTGAAACATTGTAAATATGATAAGGACAGCAGTCCAAATAGTGTAACTCCAAACAAATATTCTGTAAACCTGTGTAATTAATCTGCCTATTTTACATATCATGTTGAAGTTAAGCAACATCAAGCCTGATCAGTACCTAGATTGGTGACCACTTGTGAATACTAGGTGCTATCGGCTTGGATGTGCGGGTGGTGTAATGGATAATGGCTCAGAATTGATCCACCTTCCAATTCCAGTCAAGGTCCTTATATTCACTTACATGAAAATACCCTTGGGAAAGCTATGGGTTAAATAGTAGAACTTGTATCAGTAATCATTATTATCCTGAAACAAGTCCTACAATCTAAAAATATTTTTTGGCTTTAAATAACCTGCAAGGGGTTGGTAAATCATAAAAAATGAATCAATCAATGAATGTATCTCTGGTGGTGCTATTTGTGCTATAGTATCAGTGTGTTGACAGCTGAGAATATTTCAGTTGTATGTTTTGAACATATCCATGATAAATAATTTGGATCTGCTTAAAATAAATTTAAATTAAATTTAATAATATTAAATAAAATAATGCATCATTTCAAGTTTCTAACATTCAATATAATGCTTTCAACCCACTATTATATGGTTTGAAAAACTCTCATTTAAGTAGCACACTAATCAATTTACTGTTTTAGATAAATTATGAAATAAGAAGTGAAGAAATCATTCAAAGTAACGCAGTTAATTGAAATAAGTGGTGACTAACTGATACAATGACTTATCTTGAAATGTAACAGAATACAAAAACCGATATGATAAGATTGGGTTGTATATTTATTTATTAAGATATATAAATATTATAGAGATCTAATAACCAAAAAAAAAAAAAACAAATAAAAAAAACAATATTTTTATTTAAAAAATTATTCTGGCAATATAAATTTAAATTTGATATTATCAGAGAAATATTAATGATAAGATTTATTCAAAAAATGAAAAGATTTTTCTTGCAAATTTTTAAAATATAAAATTTCCAATTTGCCTTTTCAGCGGCTATGTTGTGGAAAAATTTGATCCAACGAAAGGAACATGGGAGAAGGTTAGCAGTTCTGTTACTGGCACAAAACTAGCAGTCAAAAATCTGCAAGAAGGTCATGAGTACAAGTTCCGAGTTAAGGCCGAGAATCTCCATGGCCTTAGTGAACCACTTGAAACTGACAAGAGCATTGTGGCTAAGAATCCATACAGTAAGTATCAAGACATTTATGTCCTAATCTATTTAACTTTGGGGAAAAAGGATTTTGATTATTCTATTTCTAATACTGAAAATATCAGACTGGATAAGTAAGGAGAATTATCTGACACTAACGAAAGTGAGATAGATAGATAGATAGATAGATAGATAGATATTAACAGATTGAAATGGATAGATAGATATGAAAAGATTGAAATGGATAGATAGCTATGAACAGATTGAGATAGATATGAGCAGTCTTAGATAGATAGATAGATAGATAGATAGTGTTGTGGATTCCGAGATGAAATTCGGTCTCCAATGAATGACAAACGCAAGAATTAAATATAAGAAATTAAATGTATTTTCACAATAATACAATGGGTAACACTGTTAGTAAATCCAGGAACGCCGTTAGTAGCAATAATAATATATATATATACAGTCTCGAAGTAGGACTTCCTTAGAGTCTACGTACTGGTAACTGTGACTTCTACAAGTGGTTACCTCACACTATTACTCTACCTCCAACTCATTCACAATCTCTGCTCACTCTCTCTCTCTCTATATATATATATATAAATATATATATATTCTGATTGACTCTGGGTATTTAACGGCAGCAGTCCAAGTAACACTCTGGCCGAGTCCACTTATATGAAAAAGGGGTGGACCCCATAACAGATAGATAGATAGATAGATAGATAGATAGATAGATAGATAGATAGATAGATAGATAGATATGAACAGATTGAAATGGATAGATAGCTATGAACAGATTGAGATAGATATGAGCAGTCTTAGATAGATAGATAGATAGATAGATAGATAGATAGATAGATAGATAGATATGAACAGACTGTTACATACAGTTAGAGACACTAAAAATTGAATGATCTAGATCTATATGAACAGTCTTAAATATAAACAGATAGAGGTAGATATAAATAGATATGAAGTCTTAGATAGATATGAACAGACTTTGATAGATAGATTAACATTAGCTAAGATAAGTTTTGTTTGTTTTTATTCATATATATATATATATATATATATATATAATGGACTCTCCCGTATGAAATTTTGTGTGATAATCTTAAGTGGCATTTAAGACCTGCCAGTGATTTACAAAGGAGGTCATATATGGAGCAAGTGTAAATTTACTCTTTAGTATTTCAAGATATTTTCATGCAATTTTGGTTAACATATCTGTTAAAATGAGATATCAATGTTATTTTCATTTTTGCGTAATTTAGATAAAAATTTATCCAAAGCATCCTGCATATTGTTGGGATTTCAAGTCTGACTGATTAGAGAAAGGGAATGTATAAAAACTATAATGGCAACTATTAGCGTTTAAAGTGAAACTCAGAGCAGAAAGAAAGAAAGAAAGAAAGAAAGAAAGAAATGATAATGAATTCTTACTTGTTCCTGGTGTAATCTCACAGTGGCAATCGTTTGTGTCAAATTGCAACAAAAACACTATATGTTGCCTACAAGTAATTCTACTCGTAGAAGTAATGATAGAAAATAAAGAGTTAGGACTCTTATTAACAGTTTTGGTAATATGTCCAGTCAGCTTTGAAAGAGAGAGCAAGGTTGTAATGAAGGAAGAAAAAATACAGCCACTGGCTAACCATTTTAGCATTTTATAATATCTCTCTTCAAACACATATGCAAATTTTGACACCCCTTCAATCAAACTGGGTCAGCTGGAACTCTTTTCTATAAATCTTCTGTGAAGATAGAATTATATCTTTTATTATATTTGCATCATAAAATTACAGCTGAATTCCCTCCTTTCTCCCTTTCCACAAGAGTTTCACTAAGGTAACTGCACAAAGTTTCTACGATATATACAAAGTTTATATATATATATATATATATATATATATATATATATATATATATATATATATGAGGAGGCACAGTGGAGTAATGGATATCGGCGTGGATTGAGGAATCAGAGAGCTGAGTTCGAATTCCAGTCAAATCCATTACATTCACTTACGTGCTAATACCCTTGGGAAAGGTATGAATTCTCTTCTTCTCCCTCCAGCTATGGGTAAATAGCAGGACAGATTGGGTTCTATAGCAACTGGTCTAGGAGAAGGACAACTCTGAATTCAAAACCTGCGAAGGGTCGTTTGGGGACCTTGTGGCACGTAGTGCACCAGGTCTCTGTATTCGTCCCTTCAAAAAGTGTGGATGGTCCTGCACGAAACCTTCACCACTATAATCAATTCCCATGTGTTGTTGTCGGGCTGTCAGTTTCCTGGGAACTGATCTGCTTCACCCTCATACGTCAAATTGGACGGGAGAGTTGAGTATATATATATATATATATATATATATATATATATATATATATATAATGCATACTTATACCTGTTTTTCAGATGAGCCTCATCCACCAAGCCAGCCAACTATTGTTGATCATGACAGAAGCCATATTGACCTGAAATGGGAAAAACCTGAAAATGATGGTGGCTCGCCCATCATTGGCTATGACATTGAACGCAAAGAGGTCAAGGGTAATCGGTGGGTCAAAGTCAACAGAGTTCCAATTCAAGTAAGTTCACTTGTTAATGGTAATATCTCATCAGCTGATTAATAGTAATTACATACCAAAGGCAAACAATTATTTTTTTCTCTCTTAATATCTGGTTATTTAATTTTGTTGAACTGAAGTTTAATTTGATCAAGTGATTTTTGTCCCTTTTTTTTCTTTTCTATATCAAAAACCTTTTCAATTAATGTAGGAAACAAACTTCACTGATGATAAAGTGACTGAAAACAAGGAATATGAATACAGAATCAAAGCTGTAAATAAGGCAGGATCTTCTGATCCAAGTATTGCATCGAAACCTGTCTTTGCTAAACCATCAAAAGGTAAGTGATATGTAATAAATTTATATTATCATCTACACATACAAATTGATTCATCGCAACACTATCCCTAATTACAAATGACAAAGGTACTTAGTATGATATTGATAATAAATATAATGTGATGAGATCTAAGATCTTTTAACCTTCATTTAAAATTGTCGGATGCAACATTCCTAGCAACAGATTTAGCAGTTGATTCAATATAATCTTTCCAGTTCATGTCAGTGAAAAACATTAGCCTGAGAAGGTGAAAGGAGTTACTCTCCTGAAGGTGGCTTTTAATGTTAAAACTTTAAATTGCAATGTTAATTGTTATCTTCTGAATTCCTGTTCTTTTATTGTTCTCTGATGTTGAAAATTCCTTTTGACTGAAAGGGTAGATCACAATCTGGTCTGGCACAGTAAGTGTTGCAAAATAGTGCCTAACACAAAATTCAGTCAGGGCCAATTAATAATGTCAGAAGAAGAGAGTGCACAGAATGACTCTGTTCTCATAAAGTCCCTCTCACCAAAAAAAAATGAGAAGGGAGGGAAGGCAGGCCTTAAGTAACAAAATGGCAGATCTGTGCATCCCACCCTTTCTGGTAAAAAGATTACAAAAACCAGTATTTGGAGTGTCCTCACTTTGAAAAACAAACCATGGCAAATACTCTGCCTCCCGTGTCTGATGCAACCCCACACATGCAGATAATTACGTGTATTTTTCCACATATGATACTGATAATAAATATAATGTGATGAGATCTAAGATCTTTTAATCTTCATTTAAAATTGTTGAACATGAAACAGTGAACCAACTTTCCTAGCAGCAGTTGATTCAATATAATCTTTCCACTTCATATCAGTGAAAAATGTTAGCCTGAAAAGCTGCAAAGAGTTACTCTTCTGAGGATGATTTTTAATGTTAAAACTTTAAATTGCAATGTCAATTGTTATCTTCTGAATTTCTGCCCTTTTATTGTTCTCTCTCTTTAATAATGCTTTTTTTTTCTCATATTATCCCACACTCATTAACCCTTGTGCCTTAGTGACTTTATTGCCTTGCTTAGATGAAATGACTAAAAAAGAAAATTAAAATATATTGCTTTTTTATTTACAGAAAAACCAAAACTCAACCTTGATAACCTGTTTGGTGCCAAGGAGATCCGAGTCAGAGCAGGTGAACCTCTAACCATTCCACTTGGTATTTGTGGAGCACCAGCACCAACTGTTGCGTGGTCAAAGAATGGAAGGCCTGTTGGAAATAGGGTAAGAAATTGTTTCTGACTCCTTGATATCTAACTATATTTAAAACTGGCCAACTTAATTGCACCTTGCTGCATGTCACATATTTTATGAAAAATGATTGATTTTAAATCATTGTTATAACTTGTAGAGAAGAATGATGCATTTCAGTATTATCCAATGATCTTGGCAATCTGATCTCCATCTTCTGGCTTTCTCCTTCTTTATTTTTGATAGGAGTCATTCCCTTGTTCAAATTGAATTGCGATTTAAATCAAAGGGAAACATGAACAAAGTTTTTACATGCAAACAAAATTCTTACTGGATAAGCTGATTTTTTTTTGCACTTAATGCAAAACATAGCTCATGTTTATGTCGTGTGCTTGATAGTTTTTCTGTGATATTGGCTTCACCCAAAAAATTACAAAAACTGAAAAAATCTGGTTTTTCGTACTACTTAAAATAAATACTTGAATAATTTCCTCATTTTTCAAGCATGTCACAAAAAATTTGCCATCATGCAAGAAATAAGATAGTGTGGTTTTAGTCCTTAGTAAATGGATGGCAAAATAAGGTTTAGGAGAGATAACAGAAAGATAAATTTTACTAAGAGCTACAAAGTACTGGAAATTGTGGAGAGTCATGATCGCCAATGTCTTAAAGGGACACAGCACATAGAAGGATAAGAAACATTTTAAATATCTCATGGGACAGATTGAAGGCAAAAAAGGACAGAAGAATGCAGAGCATAATCTGCCTGATGAGCAGGTGTAAATTGTTGCCACAACAGGTATTAGGAGAGATAAAAAAACGACAAATATTTTCTAAGAGCGACAAAGGGCAGGTAATTGTGGAGAGCCATGATCCCCCATGTCCTGAAGAGACATGACGCATAAAAGAAAAAAAGATATAACACTTGACAGGTAGTTAAATATCTGTAGTTATTTGAGTCTGACATCTCCAATTCATAGCGCATTTCTTGTACTGTCCCTTTTGCTCACGACCATATGACATCAACAAAAATAAAATCCTGATGTGATAATTCAGAATTAGATTTATTTTGTGATTGGTTGCACATTTTTAAAAAATTCTGAGCCTACATTTTTCTGTTTGCTTAAATCCTTCATTGTTAATCTCGAGACGAAATTTAAAAAAAAAAATTTTTTCTATTTCAGGCTGATACAACTGAGAGTGAAACAGAAGCTAAGCTTCATATTCCTTGTGCTGAGAAAGGAGACAGTGGCAAATACACTATCAATGTTACAAATGCTCACGGAACCGATTCAGCTGATATACAAGTTGTTGTACTTGGTAATTATATGAATAACTATATTTTCTATATTGTAAGAATGTTCAGGAAAGTCGAGCTTATATCTGAATGAAAAAAAGAAAAAAATAGAAATATGCAATGTTTTTGTTTATGACTTGATATACAGGGTGTTTCAAAAAGAATACGCCAAAATCATCACGTGATATGTCAAAAACGAAAAAAATTACAAACCTCTAGCATGAACACATGTGTTGTATATACATTCAAGTTTCATTTCATGTTTTATAAGTGCTCAATGTGGCCACCACCGGCAGCGCGGACAACATCAAGCCGATATGAGAATTCCTCCCATACGCGACTCAGCATGTCACGGTCCACCGTGTTGATTGCAGCTGTTATTCGATCTTTCAAGTCATCGATACTTGCTAGAAGTGCTGGAACATAAACTTGGTCTTTAACATACCCCCACAAGAAAATGGTCACACACAGTGAGGTCCGGGGATCTGGCAGGCCGAGCACAGAGAGCAAGGTCTTTAGCACCTCTCCTCCTAATCCATCGCTGAGGCACGTTTTCATTCAGATAAACTCTAACCCCGAGATGCCAAAGGGGTGGTGCTCCATCTTGCTGAAAAATGAAGTCATTCGAATCTGCTTGCAGTAAAGTGAATAGTCAGTTTTGGAGCATTTCAATATAGGTTTGTCCTGTAACGGTGTTTCCTTCAAAGAAAAAGGGACCATAGAGCTTGTCTTGAGACACAACACATAAGACGTTCACTTTAGGGGAATCTCTTTCATGCTCAACAGTTTCATGTGGGTGCTGTGTACTCAAGCACGCAAAACGCCTTCTTCTGAGGAGTCACCATCTTTCCACAATTCAGCTGCACCGGAAGTTATACTAACGACAGTGGTGAAACTGACACCTAATCAAACTTTGATAACTACTCTATCAAATAACCACTGATTCAGTCCACTACAATGCTATAGACCTGAAAAAACAGCGTAATGATTTTGGCGTATTCTTTTTGAAACACCCTGTATATGCTTCCTGTTTTTCTGCTATCCTTTCTAAAATCGATCCCCACAAAGCTAGTCGATGTTATCCCTGCAACTGAGTAAGCTGAAACAATGTTTTGCTGAGTAAGCTGAAACAATGTTTTGCTGAATAAGCTGAAACTGTTTTGCTGAATAGGCTGAAACAATGTTTTGCTGAGTAAGCCAAACACAGATCAGTTAAACAAATAGTGATGCTTTTATATTTGGTGATTCCATCTAGAATGAGATCCTACTGTAAATTTATTTTCTTTACAGATAAACCCGGACCTCCAACTGGTCCACTTGATGTCAGTGAAATCACAGCGGAATCCTGCAAGTTGGCTTGGAAACCACCAGAAGATTTAGGAGGTGTTGATGTTTCAGGTAACAACTTATTTCAATTTGTTTTTTTTTTCTTAAAATATTGTGGCCATTTTGCCTAAAATTTGTATTTCCTTGATTTCAGATGATAACATTTTCCAGCATATTTCAGGGAAATTTTCACTCTTCCCAAATTAGTTTATAATTATAGTTTAGATATGTGGAAAAAGAAAGCATCATTTTAAACTGATTTCTTTCTTTTCTCATATTTTGCTGACTTTGCTTAAAGGAGGATATGGATTTTAGGTGAGTTATAACTGAGTAGATAATTATAACCCCCCCTTACATTTATATATACAAAAATATTCATAAAAATGAAACAGTAAGATGTGGAAATAACAAAACAAGTATTATTTATTATCTGGTTGTTACAGGGTGTTGGAGAAACAAGAGACAGTAATAGTGAGTAACATTGTGAGTTTGGGATCAAATGTAAATTAAATATGGATCAGAATCTGTCAAAATGATAAGATAAAGAATAAGTGTATAAAATCTTTCTCTTATGCTTTTTTTTATAGATGTGTGTAATTTGTGTCCAGATAATTTACTTGGAAAAATACAAGGAGTGTTTGGGGTTTTCTTACCTCAAAGTTTTGTTCAGTGCTAAAAGATAAATGTTACTATTATGGCCTGAAAAAGGAAAAGAAGACCAAATTTTTGTTGATCTATGTTTTGATGACCTGTTCTTGTGAACTACTTGTCCGATAGTGAGAATGTCATTTGTTTTTGTATGTTGGGGAGAAAACTGTGATTGATTCTCATTGGTTTAGAGTGAGTGTATTAATGATAATTATAATTGTTATATTATTTTATTATAATTATTTTATTTTTGACACTGTAATTAATTTTTATTTATTTCTTTATGGACACAACAGGGTTAAACTGACATGTTTGTGATCCTTTTTCTTAAAGTTCATATTTTTTTGATGTAAAATAAAAAATATCATAAAGATATCAGTTTAAATATATAGAAAAATGAAGGAGTCACTTTAAACTGATGTCTTGTTTTTTCATTTAACATCAAGAAAATATGAATTTTGTCAGTTGATGTGTTAGAAATGATTGATGTTCTCTGCAAAATCTGCAATATGGTGTTAGACATATGTTGCAATATTGCCACATGTATTTTTATGTTCTAAATTGAACTAATATATTTATGTATAATGAAAGAAATTCAAAATATAACAAGTATAAATAAACACTTGACTTTTTTAACACTTCAGAAGAAAATAATGTTCTATCGTCAGGGCATAAGTTTAAAACATTTTGTATAAAGTTCATATTTATGTTAGACTAGCAGTAAAGCCTGGCATTGCCCGGGGATGTAACAGTAAGAGATAGATCAATTATCAACCATCATAAGGACTGAAAAATAAAATTGACAAAGATTATTGTTTAAGGTTGATGGACACGCATGTCTTAATTAGTTTTTGTTTGTTTTGTTTTTTTGTTTTTTTACGAATTGGTCAAACCCAAACTCAAATAAAAACATTGTTTTCAATTGTTATGAGTCTACCGATTGAATAGAATTTTATTATAAACAATTGTCTTGTAAATGGGATTTTTAAAGCATTCTGAATGTAAAAATAAAGAAAAAAGTGTGCAAGACCATAAGAAACACTACCTGCCAAAAACAAAGTGAAGTTTTGTTGAAATCAGTTGAAAAATGTAGGAAATCCGATCCTGTATATGAACGAACACACACACAAACAACCTAGGTTTTTATAATAAGTATAACTCGATATGATTTGTCCCCCTTTCATTCTGGCAACAGAATCGTGTTTTAAATTTGATTTTGTGCAAAACAGTTGTAATTTTCCAATTTTTTGGTGCTGTCACAACCACCACAAGGTAACTTTACGCAGTCCTGTGAAGTTTTGTTGAAAAATGTAGGGAATCTGATCTAATATATAAACGTGCAGACACACACATACACACACACACAATCTGCGTTTTATAATAAGTAAGATGAAAAACAAATGAATCAGTATAAACAGAGTCATTCTTTTTTCCATATTTTAGCAATTTTACTTAAAGGAGGGTATTAGTTGAACTGACACATTTGTAGCTATTTTGCTTAAAGTCGATATTAGATGAAAAACGAAAGGATCAGTTTAAACTCATAACAGGACGATATTGTTTAAAATTCCTATCTCTTGTTGATATTTCATGTTTTTGCAAGATTTAATTTCTACTACTTTTTACCAATGTTAAAAATATTATGAAACAAACAAAAAAAAACAATGTTTTCCAAATTGTTTTCTTTATAGGATACGTTATTGAAAAATGTGAAGAAGGTTCAGGATTCTGGGAAAAAGTTCCTGGAATGGTTATTGGAAATTCTCACACAGTCAAGGGATTGAAAGATGGAAAATCATATCAATTCCGAGTAAAAGCAGAGAATATCTATGGAGTCAGTGAACCCCTCACAGGCAATAAAATCATTGCCAAGAATCCATTCGGTAAGTAAATTTCTTATATTCTTATATATAAATTTAGCTTTGTATCATAGCATGAAAATAGATTTATAGTTCAGGTAACATATAGAGATTTATAATTATTTATGAATTAATACTATATTTATCCGGTAAGATTGGTCAAATTTGCTTACACACTCTGATATTCTCAGCATCCTTCTGTAGAACCACATTAGTTTCTTCTTCATCTGTTATGGTAGAAAAGAAAAGAAATCATGGCTCTCTACAATTTCCTATCCTTTGTAGCTCTTAATAAATTTTGTCTTTTTGTTATCTTTCTTCATGCCTCTAAAACTTTGTTGTTGCTCACATGTTCAGTTTATTGTATTATGATAGAAAAGAAAAGAAATCATGGCTCTCCACAGTTTCCTATCCTTTGTAGCTCTTAATAAATTTTGTCCTTTTGTTATGTTTCTTCATGCCTCTAAAACTTTGTTGTTGCTCACATGTTCAGTTTATGGTATTATCGCAGAAGGCATCCTTCTGTAGAGCCATATTTCTGTTGCTTCAAGTTTCCTCTCCATATGTGAGGAGATTGCTCAGCATTCACTGTCATATAGGAGAACTGATATCACAGCAGTTCAGTATATTCTTTGTTTCTAAGGAAAATGTCGCTTATAAGCACTTTGAAATAATTTCATTTTTCTTTATCAAATTATTGACATTTTTTAATTTCTATCAGTACGTTTTGAATATAAAAATTTTGCTGATTAAGCCAAACAATATTTTGCTGATTAAGCCAAATAAAATTAAAACAAAAAAGAAAACTGATTATCATTGACTTATTTTACAGATCCTCCTGATTCACCAACTGGTGTGGAAATTGTCAAATTTGACAAGTCTTCATGCTCACTCAAGTGGAAAGCACCAGCATCTGATGGAGGAAATCCTATCAAAGGTGAGTTCGCTCTCTTGCTATTTTATATATATATATATATATATATATAAATTCCCAAGAGGATAGAATTCAGGTAGAACTCAATGTCCAAGACAGAGTAAGAATATAAAAACAGGTCTGATGAATTGGACCGTGATTACAATTCCAATGTAATAAATTATAACCATGGAATATTAGTGTTTGAGCCTTTTTTTTATATTATATATATATATATATATATATATATATATATATATATATATATATATATATATATATATATATATAATTTAAGAGACAGGCAATTTTCAATACAAAACCATGGAGAAGCAATAAAATTGTGAACAAAATATTTAGTGTTCATCATTAAATAACCCATAGAGTTGTTGATATGCCATGAAGCTGAAACAACCAAAGCAAACAAGACATTTCATCATTAGATCCAATATTTTAAACAAAGATTGTTATTCTCAATGCCACCCACTGGGTTACTGAACCCACATTTTTTAAATGAGTTACTCATATCACTTCTTTCATCTACAAATTCTCTTCCCACTGCTGCAATAGCAAAATCTTCCTGTGTCATCCATTTGTTTCTCAATTCTTAAACTCATAAAGAGTTTGTTAATAGAAACATTGAAAAATTTGCTGGCCTGAATATTCAATAAATCTTGTTAGATCAGGAGCTCTAATGTGGCTGAGAGTTCAAGGCATGTTAAATCTAATGACATTTTCATTTAGGGGATGCAGGTTCGAATCCTACTGGAGGGTGCATATTTTTCCAAAGTGATTTCTCAAATATTCTGGCCACTAGATGGAAATAAATAGATATACTGTTTCATAATTGTTGTGGCCTTATTGGGGCCAGAAATAAAGACACAAAGAGAAGAATTGAGTAAACAAATATATTAACAGAAAAACAGTAATACAATCATATACAAACGAGCAGGAATGTTAGTCCGACTGTCAGAGCAGACTGCTGGAAACTACACTCTTTCTAAAAGCAATACCTGCTTTTATTTGTAACTTGGGAGAGTCCATCTGTGTATGGGTAATTTATCATAACAATAATAAAAACAGAGCATCTACTCAAATGTGAGTATCCATTAAAAATATTGTTTAAACTAAACTAAAATATGAGTATCCATTAAAAATATCATTTAAACTGAAATATGAATATCCATTAAAAATATCATTTAAACTGAAATATGAGTATCCATTAAAAAATATCATTTAAACTAAACTAAAATATGAATATCCATTAAAAATATTGTTTAAACTAAACTAAAATATGAGTATCCATTAAAAATATCATTTAAACTGAAATATGAATATCCATTAAAAATATCATTTAAACTGAAATATGAGTATCCATTAAAAAATATCATTTAAACTAAACTAAAATATGAATATCCATTAAAAATATTGTTTAAACTAAATTAAAATATGATTATCCATTAAAAACAAGTCAACTGCAACCTCACAATGTTTCTATTAACAAACTCTTTATGACTTTAAGAATTGAGAAACAAATCTGTCTTATTAGTACATTGTGTTGTGAATCAAATCCTTCCTCTATATGAGAAATCAGATGTAATACACTCGTAACATGGATAAATAAGAACTTCAAACCTCTATATCCGTGTTAAATAACAGCATGACTTTATTAAATATTAATAATATATTAATCTCAAAACTGATCTAAAATCTGTTTCTCAATTCATGAAAAATTGTTTTCATTTACATTAGAATATGAAACAGAGCAAATATGTATATTTCAGGAATCAGAAAACATATGTGTTCAAAAGTGTTATTCATTTGTCTGATAAGATGTCCTACATAGCTGATAGGTCAAGGTGCATCAAATCTAATGACAGTCTCCCCTAGGAGATACAGGTTCGAATCCTGCCAGAGGGCATATATTTTTTCTAACAAGAGTTCTAAATTATTCAGGCCAGTAGATGGAAATAAATAAATATACTGATTCATAATAAAAATAGAGCATCTACTCAAATAAGAGTATCTATTAAAAACAACGTTTAAGCAAATCAATTAAAAATGTTGGATTTAATCGATTTCCTAAAAAAAAATGACATATATAACAGTCAGTTGCGTTTTAGGTCCTTAGTGTTTTCTTTTATTCTTTCCTTTCTTTATTTTCATTTATAGATTATTCATACCTTTTTGTATATAGAATGCAAGTAGATTTTGATATCAAATTTTGAGAAAAGACAAAATGCGTCTTATACACCAAAAAATACGGTATATATTGTCAAAATACTCTTAAAATGTTTATATCTTAACGGATCTTCAAATTCTTTTCAGGATACATTATTGAGAAGAAAGAGAGAAAAGACAAAGACTGGGTAAAAGCCAGTGTTTTCCCAATTCCTGATACATCTTTCACTGTGATGAACTTAACAGAAGGTCAAGATGTTGAGTTTAGAGTGTCTGCTGTCAATGATGCTGGACCTGGCAAACCTAGCAAGACGACACCACCTCACCGTGTACAAGATCCAGTTTGTAAGTATTCATGTTATGACGTTTTTATTTATTAATATCCTCATTGCATATGCAAATTTCTGAATACATATTGAATTTGATAATATAGGCTTCTTACGAAATGTTTAGTATATATGATGTTCTTCAGAAATATCTAAACTCTCAGCTGTATACAACTGCTTTTTAAGATAAATGGTTCTTTGAACTTTTTTGATTGGGGTGACAGAATCACAAAGAACCATACCAAAGACCATCCCCTCCCCAAGTTCCCAAGTCTCACTGAGCACAATCTCAGTAATAATACCATTGCAGCATGATAAATTTTTAGACATATCAAAAGCCGAGACCCTAAGAAAGCTACTGGTGGCCCAGACAAAATTCCAGTGGTTGTCCTTAAGAATATCAACCTGGAATTATCTCCAACCCTAGAAAAGTTATACAACAGCAGCTTAAAGGAGAAATCCCAAGCCTGTGGAAAGTGTCAAGCGTGTGCACAGTTTTCAAGAATGCGATCATGCAATCTTCCCCCTTCCTGCTATACTCTACCATTACAAGAGCTAGATCTGACCAAAAATGGACAACTCTTGTCATATTTGGGTGAAAGCTTTTCAGACTTTACTCTTCAGGCTTGAAAGAATCCAAAAGCATCTCTGAGCCTTGTGGGTAATGGATTATTCTCCACCCTTCAAACTCTTTCCCAGAGGCAGGATGTGGCAATCCTCTCACTCCTCTACCACTATTTCCATGGAAAGTTCTCAGATGAACTAGTTCTCTAGTTCCGTCAAGTCAAACCTTCCTAGCAAGAATATGCCATGCCACTTCCATAGTAGCAAACCAGCCATATTCCCTCCATATTCCATCAGTAAGTTTCACTTTAGCAGCTTCTTCCCATGAACTACAGCCCTGTGGAATCAACTCCCAACATGATGTTTCCCTGATCACTACAATCTTAACCTATTCATGGCTGGGGTTAGTTGTTATCTCCTTCACCTATACACTCGAATAGCCTCCTAATGTAACACATACTTTGAGTGTTCCTCCAGGCCTTATAAAGGGTGACCCTCACTGTAAAAAACATAACAGAAACCACATAACAGGAGGTCTACCAACAGCAACAAAACTAAAATGGATATGTAACTCGAAGAGAAAATAATGACATAATCAAGATACTGACGTTCCACACTATTACAAACAAAAGGTTAGGAAGGTAAACCCCGTGAATACTGGAAAGAGCAATAACAGCCACTGGGCTTGAGAAAGCTGTTTTCCTGAAAAATTGTTTTTAAGTGAAAGATTTTATAATTTCAGCCAAAACCAGTACTGGCTGCTTGGTCAATGAACGCAGAATGTTTCCTTATAAGGAAACAGCTAATATTACCATTATATGAGTAAGCATGACAGCAAAGATTGAAAATAAAGTGTATGCTTTTTTAAGGACTTGAGTTCAAATCTCACTGAGGACTGATGCACTGAGGACTGATCCATGTCAATCAGGAGATGGACAGAATTATTTGTTTAAAACTTTGTTTGTAATAACATCTCCACAGCGAAAGACAAAAACAACAGTTCAAATAAATCAATATATAATGATAATTCATCATCTCAAAAATCAAAACCCAATATCTTAATTAGTTCTTATATTTCATCTGCATTAGTGATCATAAGTTAACTGAATTAGTCCATGTGGACTGAGCTGAATTATCATGAGATTGATTTGAATTATTCATCATGAGATTGATTTGAATAAGCCATCATGAGTTTGAGCTGAATTAGCAATCATGAGTTTGAGCTGAATTAGCCATCATGAGTTTGAGCTGAGTTAGCCATCATGAGTTTGAGCTGAATTAGCCACCATGGGTTTGATTTGAATTAGCCATCATGAGTTTGAGCTGAGTTAGCCATCATGAGTCTGAGCTGAATTAGCCATCATGAGTTTGATCTGAATCATAAACTTGAACTGTATTTTATTATGGTTAAGATTGGCCCAGATTTATCTTGAAGGCATAACAAAAGAAGTTAGTTTATTAAGAAAAGAACTAATTGTAATTTATAAAACGTTTTTGATAAATTCGTTATATAAATTTTTATAATATTTTTATTAATAGTCCCTGCTGGTTCTCCTGGTGGTCTAACCCTTGACAAAGTCACCAAAGACTCTGCCACATTGTCATGGTCACCACCCAAGAATGATGGAGGCAGTAAAATCACTGGTTACATTGTCCAGAAGAAAAAGAAAAATGGTGACTGGGAACCATGTAATACTATTCCAATTGATGGCACAACATTTACAGCTACAAAACTTCCTGAGGGTGAGGAAATGCAGTTTAGAGTTATTGCTGAAAATTCTGCTGGTCCAGGAGAACCCAGCAAACCAACACAGCCTGTTGTCATTGAGAATCAACCTGGTAAGTAGTCCACTTTGTTATATATTGTTTCTTTACATAGACGTCAAGTTTATTGCATTCTCAACGTGTCTGTTTCTTTCTTGTTACTATATTCCAGTTACTGTATATGCAAGAACCTTGTCTGAACAAAGCTGGAGAGTCAAATAGTTAAGATTTTGTAACAAAAGTCAGAGGCATGATACTAAGCAAAGCTATATAATGTGGAGGGACATCTTTTCAAAAAAGGTTGAGATGAAAATTTTAAAATGTTAGTTTTAATGTATAGGATGCATGATGAGGTTTTGGAGAATTTGACGCTAACAGGAAGAGGGAGAGAGGGAAACAGTGAGTAACCTACTGCAGAAAATTGTCCAAACCCATGACAGAACAGGAAATGAAAAGACAAATTTTAAAAAGGATAGGACGATGTGAAGAGCCATAATCACCCAAGTTCTTAAGGGCACATAGAAAATGAAGTTTCTCAGTTTAAATATGAAAATTTATTCCTTAGTTTTCATGAAGTAGGAAATTCTTTTATTTCATTATGGGGATTTTTCTGAGAATAACAGGCACAAGGCTGAAAGTATGGGGTACCCAATGTGGATCAAACTTACTGTTTAGTGATAATTGACCTCACAAGACAAGTTTGCTAACCATTGCACCACATCATTCAAAAAAGGATTATTAATTACATTTACAAACTCGATGGAAAAGGCAAGATCAATATCTGAAGATACATTGGAATAGTTAAAATACTTTCCAAAAGTTAAGCTAGGTATTATGAAACAAGAAAATTTCATTGAAAATGAATAAGAGTACTGAATCTTTATGTAATATCACTATGTCAATATTTCAGTGCATGCTGGACAATCTCTTCACAGATGATGAAAAGACTTGGGGCAATGGAAATGTAGTTCTACAGAAGAATGCTGAGAATGCCATGGACTGAACATTGAAGTTTTAGAGAAAATGGAAAACAAAAAGGAGACTTATAATTATAATCAGAAAGAGACAATTGACATTTCTAGGGCATATAAATGAGGAAAGAGGACTTGGAAAATTTGAAATTCATAGGACATGTTGAAGAAAAGAGGGACAGAGAAAAGCAGCGAATAACCTAAATTAACGAACTTGTGTAAATGAATAGCAGAATAGAGATTAGAAGAGATAGCAAAAAAAAAGAAACATTTTCTAAGCACTACGAAAGACAGGAAGTTGTAGAGAGCCATGATTGCTGATGTCCTAAGGGGAAGCAGCATATAGAAGAAGTTTTCAATATTTCAAAATAATTGGGACTTTCTTTTCATAGAGTTGCAAGTACTGCATTTAGTAAACAATCACAAATCTGATGTGAAAGAAAGTGCACAATCACAGAATCTGTGGTGTAGTGAAGTGCACAGTTGCAGAATCTGAAGTTTAGCAAAGTGTGTAGTCACAGAATTCGAGGTGTAGCAAAGGCAAACAGTTGCAGAATCTGAGGTATAGCAAAGTGCACAATCACAGAATCTGTGGTGTTGTGAAGTGCACAGTTGCAGAATCTGAATTTTAGCGAAGTATGTAGTCACAGAATTCGTGGTGTAAGCAGAGTGAAAAGATTCAGAATGCAAGATGTAGTAAAGTCACAGAATCCGAGGTGTTGTGAAGTGAATAGTCACAGAACAGATGCAGAACCCAGGGTGTAGCAGTGAACAGATGCAGAATCAGAGGTGTAGCAAACCAAACTTCTGCAGAATCTGAGGTTTAGCAAAGCGCACAGTTGCAGAATCTGTGGTGTAGTGAGGTTTATAGTTGTAGAATCCAAGATGTTGTGAGGTATACAGTCACAGAATGCAATGTTTGCATAGTGCAGAGTTGCAGAATCTGTGGTGTAACAATGCACACAGTAACAAAATCCAAGGTGTAGCGAGGTGCACAGTTGTAGAATCCAAAATTTAGTGAGGTATACAGTCACAGAACCCAATGTCTGCAAAGTGCACAGTTGCAGAATCTGAGAAGTAGCAGGGTGAACAGGTGCAAATCGAAGCAGTGCTCTCCAAATAGTCAGCACCAAATTGACTTGCCAACATTGAAAAATATCCTCATGAACTGCACTTCTTACTTCTTACATTCATACAAAAACCTCATTCCGTATCCCTCTACCTTGAGTGACTCTTGACCTCTTCAAGTATTGGTTAACCATTATCTTTCCTACATATCCATATAAACATCTCTTCTTATCTCCTCCTCTTACATTCATATAATAACCTCATTCAGTATCCCTCTACCTTGAGTGACTCTTGACCTCTTCAAGTATTGGTTAACCATTATCTTTCCTACATATCCTTATAAACATCTCTTCTTATCTCCTCCTCTTACATTCATACATTAACCTCATTCAGTAACCTTGAGTAGCTCTTGTGCCTTGTACTGGGCAAAGAAAGATAAACAAAAAAATTTAAGATATATTTTTGTGCATCCCATTCCTTGAAATGTAGCAGCGGACATTTGTATTAGTACCAAAACCTTAATCATTTTTGCAAATGGTTTTTGACTGTAGCAAGAGGCTGTTAAGTATTAAGCCTTGTGGAAAAAATTGTAAGAATCATTTTTGCCAAAAACAAAAGGGTATAAGCTTAAACTTTTTTTTGCAGAAAAACCAACAATTGACCTTTCTGGTATCAAAGACATCACAGTTAAGGCAGGCCAAGACTTTGAGATCAAGATACCCTTCACAGGTGTTCCTAAGCCAACAGCTACCTGGGCTCGTGACAGTGAACCAGTTAAAGAAAATTCTCACATCACTATGAAAGTAAGGAACTGGGAAATATTAAATTTGATGCCAAAATTTTGGCAATCCTTTAGAATATAATAATAAATATATTTTTTTTTAAATTTGAGTATTTAAAACTGTTACATTTGGTTCTTAAATATGAAGTATTTTGTAAATTTGGTTCTTAAGATTTATAAATGTGGTCTTTAAGTTGGTAAAGAATTTTATGAATTTGAGAATATTCAATTTTATCCTAAATTTTGTAAAGAATTTGAAAATATTAAATTTAATCCTGAATTTTGTGAAGAATTTTAAGAGATTTTTGTGGACACTTTTAAGAATTTAAGGATATTAAATTTTGTCCTTAATTTTCTGAAGAATTTTATGAATTTGAGAATATTAAATTTTGTCCTTAGTTTTGTCAGTAAATTTTAGAATATGACAATAAATTTTTTTTGAAATTTGTGAGGTTTTGAAAATGTAAAGTTTGGTTCTGAATTATGCGATGAAGTAACATTTTATTATCAGAGTAAACTAAAACATTCTGTCTCTGATATATATCAGTTATCATTTTTGAATTCAAGATTGTTTTTTATACCTATATTTCAGGTGACCGATACACATGCTACTCTATCTACCACCAAATCTACTCGTCTTGATGCTGGACGTTACACTCTCAATCTGAAAAATGCTTCAGGCTCAGATTCTGTCAGTGTCAAGGTTAATGTCCTTGGTAAGTAACCCAACAATTGTGTATAACATCAATTCTAAAATATCTCTCCAGCATCTCCCATCTTTAAAATGCATAGTCATATTAAGAATTTCTTTTATAAAGTTTTCAAAACCACATTAAAATATTAAACTCCATAACATTTTGTGTTGAATTGTTTGATGTTTTAATTATCTAATATTACTATACAATGATAACAAAATTTGTATTTATGTATGTTTGAACATGATGGCTAAACAGAAAGTACAAGGAACCATGTATTTTGGATGGATATCTCAAAACCACAATTAACTTGGTGAATGTGAATTTTGAATTAAAAGATTGCTTGAGGTTTCTCGGGTTCATGACTGAGTAGAAATGGACATTGGTTGTTAAACAACACCCAATATCAGAAATAATTCTAAAGGGTGGATATATGGCAAGGGAACTGTTTCTGGAATCTATTTTACCAATAAAATCCGACACCAATAAATATCAAACCTCATTCACTTCATTTGTTATAATTTCTCAAAATTTGTCTATATTTCTGAGATGAGGTATTATGTACAGTATTTACATTAGTCGGACTATTGTCCTCATCTCTGTCGCCATATTTGTCACAACGTTTCGGACGTTGTACGCTCCAGCCTTCTTCAGGTGGTTGGTTAAGGCAGTGGAGAACTTTCAGAGGGAAAATTAGCAAGAGATAACTGATAACTGACATCCATCAAACATGGCACGTGGAACTAAAACAGTCTACCCCAGTGATCGAAATAAAGGGTTCAGTTCAAAATTCCAACCACCTGAAGAAGGCCGGAGCGTACAACGGCCGAAACGTTGTGACAAATATGGCGACAAAGATGAGGACAATAGTAAATACTAATAATGTAAATACTGTTCTCAAAATTTATCTAAAATATATCAGAATATTTTTTTAAATTGGCTTCTTAAATTATTTCTTCTCACAATGTTATGTACCTTGGATATTTACATTATTTACATTGTTCAGACAGTTGTACTCATCATTATTGTCATATTCATTATGTTTCAACCATTGTATGCTCCAGCCTTCTTCAGATAATATATGTTGGAATTCGAACCGGACCCTTTATTTTGTCCACCAGAGTAAATTGTTTTAGTTCCACTGGTCATGCCTTTTATAGATATCTCAGTTTTCACTTAATTCTCTTTAGTAACTCAACTCTCTAAAGACCTTTGCCCAGTGGATAAAAGTGTTGGTTGAAATAACCCAAAAGTGACTTATCCCAAAGAATTGTGAGTTCAATATCTGGCCACAGCAGAGGTGAACAAAAATAAAAAATTGCTGTCCACTGTGACAAGCAGTGTTTAGGTGTGTTCAAAGAGCTCTTACAACGGTTTCCTTCATTCTAGAACAATAAAAGTTGGAAGGTCAGCTTATTAGGTATATAGTAAGGATATACGAAAATTACAATAATCTAGGACAGTTCTATCTGGCTCTACTAAAAATGTCTCAAAACTTTTGGAATGTTCCTAATAGATTTACCATTTCTAATAGTTTTATATGTTGTTTAAAAATTGATTCTTGATAAGCAATTCTTGAGTTCAGTGTTGTAAGATTAAATTTTCTGCCGACCCTTGCTTGCTATTATTATATTTTTTAATCAATCGCAAGCTCAGACATTCACGAGTCTATTGCACCAACCATCATGGTCCTGCATCAAGCATAAAAGGTCATTAGGGTGGATTTCTGTGTTCTTACATAGCTGGTCAATGTTGGTGGTTGCTGGCTGACCAATCTATGACTAGGTAATCAAAGAAGTAGATCAGTTACAAGTTCTTGTTTTGCTTGCCAGCAAAGAACATTCTGTATTTGCATACGATTGTAGAAATATCAGAGATGGGTCCATAGAGATGTAATTTAGTTGGATGTTGTCTCTAAGAGATATTAAGTATAGTTCACAGCATCCGAATGTAGGTACCATCTATCTTAGACTCTTAAAAGATGAAGATCCTCCTGAATGCATAGCATGCCAGGAGGCTTATACTGTGAAGCACTTCCTGCTTGATTGCGGTGACATGGCACATATTCGAAAATTATTTTACAACGTGAACAAGTTGAAAGAACTTTTCGAAAAATCAAACTCCAATTTGATCTTGACCTTTCTTAGGAAAGTTGGACTATATAATAAAATATAATTCCAATTTGGTGTCTGATGATGAAAGGGGGAACTTTGATACTTGCCAGGTAAGAAATTTTCAAAGAACAACGCACCTCTGAAAACAGTGAATTTTTAAAGAAAAAAAAAGCAAGACAACATCGAAAAAGAAGGAAAGGACAGGGAAAGTCTTTTTGAAAGCATTTCAACCTTATTTAAAGAAAAAGAAAAAAAACCCAAAACAACTGTTTGACCTTAAATGATCTCTTACTGATCGATGGGACGTTAACTTTTAAACAAACAAACAAAATCTTAGACTCAATGGTTTTAGTTAATGTTGAAGCAGTGGTATCATACATTAAACCAACTCTACAGTGGCTCAAAATTATGTCGATTTAAGTTTGTCTGGTAGATCAAAGTTCCAGATTATGTCCATTTTATTCAAGGTGGCCCAGGCTTTAGCTCTATGAATTTTCACATCCATTTCATTCATTATTTCATTCTTATTTATTTAAGTCCTTGTTTTGCTTGCCAGCAAAGAATATTCTGTGCTTGCATACGATTGTAGAAATATCAGGGATGGGTCCATAGAGATGTCATTGAGTTGGATGTTGGCTCTAAGAGATATTAAGTATAGCTCTCAGCATCTGAGTGTAGGTTCTATCGAGCTTAGATACTAGGGTTTTAGTGATGTCCATACATTAAAACCACCTTTCCACTGGCTTGAAGGAATTCCCGTTTTGCTATTACATGTTTCTGAATTTTTAATTGTTGTTTCTATTTGTCATTTTATAATACATCCCTGAGCAGTCACATATTTATCATCAACCATTTTTTTCTCCAAGAATCAAGTGTAATTAAATGATATGATTTTATTGTTTTACAGATCGTCCATCAGCTCCCAATGGTCCATTTATTGCCACAGACATTGATGGAGAGTCATTGATGTTGCAATGGCAGCCTCCCAAAGATTGTGGTGGTGGTGATGTCAACAACTACATCTTGGAAAAGAAAAAGCATGGGTCCAATAAGTGGACGAAATGCAGCAGCTTTATCAACAACCCCAAATTTACTGTCCGTAATTTGGAGCCTGGCTGTGAATATGATTTCCGTGTGATGGCAGAAAACGACCAGGGTGTTAGCGATGCTCTTGAAACTAATGAGCCAGTATTGGCTAAACTTCCATACGGTAAGTGCAATCTTGCTAGAACAAAACAAATTAAAAAAGAAAAAATGATATTGCTGAATAAATTTAACACTATCCTAAATCCCTTAGGGTCATAGGGGCAGCACACATACTGCACTTGCAGTAGCTGCGGTGTTTCCTTGGCAAGACAGCCTGGTTTGAATTCAGAGTTTTCCTTCTTCTACACCGGTTGCCTAACAAGGCTATAGGGTCCAGTCTGCCCTGCTATTTACCCATAGGTGGGTAGAAATAGATGGATTCATACCTTTCCGAAGGGTTTGAATGTAATATCAATCATTATCTGTCTTAACTTTTATTATTCTCTCTTGTTCATAGTGTTTTTAATTTTTTCACAGACTCTCTAACAGTTAGTAACCCCTTGCATCTCACTGGCTTTCTTTCCTTGCTTGGAGTGAAATGATTTTAAAAAAAAAGAAGAAAAAGTGGATGTAATGAACTTGATTGGAATTTGAACTCTGCTCTCTGATTCCTCAATCTAAGCCACTATCCATTACTCCAGGGTGTTAATATTAGGATTAGTAGATATCTACATTTTGGAATTTAGTAAGAAAACCTACCAGGGTTCATTACTGGCAGCCACAATCATAATGACATATGATATGCAGATGATACAATGTTAAGAGCAGACTCAGAAAAAAAAAACTATAAAAACTCCTACAGAAGTTAATGAAGGAAAGAGAAAAGAAAGGACTAAACATTAACTGCAAGAACACAATGCATGGTTGTTAGCAAAAAGGATGAGCCCAATGTGCAAATTGCAAATTGGGGATAGCAAAATCAAACAAGTACAACAATTTAGATATCTAGAAAGTGCTTTAACAGAGAACAGGAGGTGTAACATGGAAATCCAAAGGAAGAATTGGGATTGTCAAAGATGTATTCCAAAAGCTAAGCAGAGTACAACAGATCCTTGGGTTATGTCAAACCCGACATACTGTGTTTCATAGTTATGAGACCACCTCCCATAATAAAAGACTTTGTCACACGGTGCTATATGAGCAAGATGGCATTGTTTCTTTACCAGCTGTACACCATATTGGATTCTGCTACATTCATTATCTCTTGTTTGTGTCTTTTTTTGAGGGGGATGGGATTTTTGTTCTTCATTATGGCTCCCAAGTGGAAGGCAGATTCGTGGGTGCTTACGTAGGTGAGTTCTGACCTACGTTGAAAATCAGGTTAATTCGCATCACTGAAATGGATCTCCAATGTAAATCGAGGACCCCTTCTACTAAGAAATAGAAAAACTCCAATAGAAACAAAGAATATTAAACTGTTACATGACATCTGTCCTCCTATATGGCAGTGGATGCTGGACAATCTCCCCAAAGATGACTTGACGTAACAGAAATGTGGTTTGACAGAAGGATGCTGAGGATACCATAGAGAGTTTTAGAGAAAGAAGGAAACAAAAAAGAAACTTATACTTAACATCAGGAAGAAACAGTTGAGGTTTCTAAGGCACATAATGAGAAAAGAGGGTTTGGAAAATCTGATACTCACAGGACAGAGGAAAATAATGCATAACATGCTTAGTAAATGGATGGCAGATCAGGGTTTAGGAAAAATAACAGAAAAACAAATTTATTAAAAGCTACAAAGGAGAGAAAGTTGTGGAGAGTCATGATTGACTGCATCCTGAGCAGACACTGCACATAAAAAAAGAAGTAAAGTACCATCTTCTGATTTTTATGTGGCATGTCCTTACAAGACATAGGGAATCATGGCCCATTCCAGCCTCCTGTCTTTTGTTGCTCATAGTAACTTTTGTGCCTTTGCCATCACTCTTTGTCCGAGTTCTGCTATCCATAGATCAAAAGGTTTCTTATGCCTCTTTTCTCTTCAGTATGTTCTATGGAGGTTAAAATTTCTTTCCAATCATGGCTCTCCACAGCTTCTTAATGTTTCCAATGTTTGATCATACTATCCCTCTTTTTCTGCCATTCATTCATATACCTATATTCAAGCTTTCATTTTTTTCTCTTCCTAAAAAATTTTCTATAAGCAAAAATTTGGCTTGCCTATGGGGTTACCGATTAGTGGAGTCCTTTGTCTTTTCCTAGAATTTTTAGAGTCAGGCCCATTTACACACATCATTACTAAAATACCAATATGAGAAAAGTGCAGAGGATTCAGAAAGAGTTGGATGAATCTAATGGTGATTACGAAATTGTTTGGAGGAATCACTAGTGATGGCAAGATTTTCTGCCATTCATCTTTCCACAGTACCTCAGACTCGAGGCCTACATCAAGTGCCTTGAGGATTTAGTGCTAACCTGGGTCAAGAGGGTGGCTGCTGGAAGACCCTATGTCTGGCAAGAGGATACTGCACCATGCCACACAAGCAAGAGAACTCACTCATGTCTGTCAGACAATTTCTGTGACCACATCAGTCCTCACATCTGGCCACCTAACTCCCCAGACTGCAACTTCTATGATTATTATGTGTGGGGCACGGTTGAGCAAGAGACGAACAAAATGCTTTGTAACAACAAAGATGAACTGAAGACAAGGTTCATGGCAGCATTCACCAACGTAAACAAGGAGAACATCCAGAAGACATGCAGGAGATTCTGAAGTCATCTGGAGGCCTTGGTTAAAGGCAATGGTGATTTTATTGAATAAATTTATGTTTTAGTATTTCAAGATATTTTTGTGTAATTTGGGTAAATATATCTTTTAAAATGAGATGCCAGGGTTATTTTCATTTTTGTGTAATTTAGATGACAATTTATCCATCGCATCCTGTATATTACAGGTATCAGTTCTATACATATATATATATATATATATATATATATATATATATATATATATATATGTTATGAAGAAGTTGGTAATCCGTATGGGTAATCCCAAGGAGGATGAAATCCTGAGAGCTCAATGTAAATCCAGAGCTAATATTTAAAAAGAAAAAACAGATCACTTTAGGTACCATTATAATAATTTATTTCACCAGATCCCTTTTAAAGGATGCCAGATCATCAGATAGCACTTCCAAAAATTTCATTTTTCATTTCATTTTTGGATCTGATGATCCGGTGTCCTTTAAAAGGGCTCTGGTGAAATAAATTATTATAATGGTACCTGTTATAGTGCTCTGTTTTTTTTTTTTAATATATATATATATATATATATATATATATATATATATATATATAGACAAACCTCTCACCTATGGACCCTTCAATGGACTTTGAATGCAACAGAAAAAATTTGCAAGCGAAATAAAAAAAAATATGCAGGAAAAAATAAAAACTTCCAAATCGTCAACAATGTATTTCAGAATTTGCAGGCTTAGTGGAATGAGTTATATTAGTTCTGAAAGTGACTGCTTGGCAGTGGTGGCTGGCCTTTCAGTTGTAGACAAAGACAGGTGTACAGTATATAAAGTAATATACATTAGCACGTGCATGAGAAAGTAGCTGTGAGAAAACTATTATTTTTGTTGTTTTGATTAATATATCTATTTACTAAGTATACATTTATTTATGCCATATATACATATTTATAGTATTTACATTATAATCATAATTAGTGGTAGTTACTATATTGGTTTTATGACTCAAAAAATCACTTCCTATCTACAGACAATTGGCTTTAATGGATCACCTCATCCCCCTATTAGTCCGTTGATGAGAGGTTTGTCTGTATATATATATATATTCTACTAGCAGTAGAGCCCGGCGTTGCCCGAGGATGTAACAGCAAGAGATAGATCAAGTATCGACCATCATAAAGACTGAAAAATAAAATTGAAAAAGATTATTGTTTAAGGTTGATGGACACGCATGTCTTAATTAGTTTTTGTTGGTTTTTTTTTTTTTTTACGAATTGGTCAAACTCAAACAAAAACATTGTTTTCAATCGTTATGGATCTACCAATTGAATAGAATTTTATTATAAACAATTGTCTTGTAAATGGAATTTTTAAAGCATTCTTTATTTAAAAATAAAGAAAAAAGTGTGCAAGACACTAAGAAACACTACCTGCCAAAAAAAAGTGAAGTTTTGTTGAAATTGGTTGATAAATGTAGGAAATTCGATCCCATATATAAACGAACACACACACACACACACACACACACACAAACAACATGGATTTTATAATAAGTATAACTCGATATGAGTTGTCCCCCTTTCATTCTCGTGATGCCTCTTAATCGTATTTTCAAATTCAAAATTTTCGTGCAAAAACAATTGTGTTTTTCCAATTTTTGGCACTGTTAGAACCACCGCAAGGTAATTTTACGTAGTCCTGTGAAGTTTTGTTGAAATCGGTTGAAAAATGTAGGAAATCTGATCCAATATATAAACGTACAGACACACACACACACAATCTGCGTTTTATAATAAGTAAGATTATAGACAAGATAGTTATCTATCTGTATATTTTCTATCATCTATATTTATTTTTTACTATGGTGTTCACCCTGTTCAAGGCCTAAGTGCCACTCATGGTAGTGGATTGCTGAGTAAGAGGCAGAGTATTGCATGTATATAGTTTTCTCTTTATACAGAAAAATGACTTGATATGCAAAAATACATGCTTTCAGATAAAATTAAATCATCTTTTTAATTTATTTTTTTGCAGCTGTTATGTTTTACATTTAAAGTATAAATTAGTTAATTGTTAATTTTTTTTTTCATGTTAATCTTTTTTTTTATGTTAAAGTTATTTAAAACCGTTTCTTCTGGTTTGTTTGTTTTAGACCCACCAAGTGCACCAGGCATTCCCAAGGTCCAGGGTGTAACTGAAGATTCCGTTACACTTTCGTGGAATCCTCCAAAGAAAGATGGCGGTAGTCCGCTGTATGGCTACATTGTTGAGAAAAGAGAAAAGGGAGACACCAAATGGGTCAAGTAAGTCATAAAAAGAATCTTTGTATTGACATTAAAAAAAGATTATTATTATTATCATTATTTTCTGAATACGGTTTTGTTAAATATTCTAATATGCTCTCTTTATCTTGCTTTGACATTATTATTTTTCATTATTCGCATTCTGTTGCTCAACTGACAGAAATTTCTAACAATTTTAATGAATTAAAAAAAGGTACTGTATATACTCATGTAACACGCGATCTCGCATATCGTGCGACCCCAAAGTTTTCACTTATAAAAAATGATTTTATCATGTATCTTGTGTATTATGCAAGTTCCTTTTTTGAGAGACCAAATTACAATAGACTAACCTTTTTTCATCAATCTCTGTTTCCCATCTTCTAGTTAAATAACTTTAAATAACAAGTAAAAGAGAATGATGAATATATTGTTAATAACACTATACTCGTTGTGTAAACACGTACAGCCATAAATAATCGAATGAGAAAAAGTTAAACATCTTATAAACATAAACACTGGACAAAGATGCATAGTCGCTACATTTGTATTTTATAGTATGATACTAATATGTGAATATTACAAGCATTATTATTGGATACAGTTAAGTAAAACACTAATTTTTATCAAAATCATGTTTATTTTAAATACAGCTGTATTTTTTGACTACAATAAATAGATATATACTTTGGCCAACAGTATAGCCAGGGCCAGCAGTACATATGCTAATTTTATATCTCATGAATGATGCAACCCCCTTAAAATTAGCTTCAGAATTAGGTCTTCAAAAGTCGCGTGATATGTGAGTGTATATACAGTAATTTCTTTTCTTCATTCTTTAAGTGAAATGAGTGCTGATGAGATTTTATTGAAAGATTTACTCAAATCTTTTTTTCTATTTCAAAGGAAACATAAGGTTTCATATCAAGTCAAAGAGCTGTCTCGAATATTCTTGTTGGTGGGATTTTTTAAATTTCAGTGGGGAATTTTTAATTTCTGAAACAAATTTTTTTAAAAATTGATAAATTAATTTGGGAAAGCAAGAAAATAAAATTATTTGAAAAATAATAAGCATCAAGACTAAAAAAACACTGTAAAATTGAAAGGTTGGTTACTTTCATTTTAGAGATAATCAACTCTTTGTGGGTTATTTAACATTCAACCTGCTCAAAACATAAAGATTGGCTCTCAGTGTTCAACACGCCATAACCCACACCATGTATACTAGAATATATGACAACATTATTGCAAATAATGCAGGCAGTCACAGTGAAACTTTGACCATAAACAGTGAGACTTTGACAACAAACAGTGAGAATTTGACAACAAACAGTGAGACTTTGACCATAAGCAATGAGACTTTGACTACAGTGAAACTTTGACCATAAACAGTGAGAATTTGACAACAAACAGTAAGACTTTGACTACAAACAGTAAGACTTTGACCACAAACAGTGAGACTTTGACCACAAACAGTAAGACTTTGACCATAAACAGTGAGAATTTGACCACAAACAGTGAGACTTTGACCACAAACAGTAAGACTTTGACTACAGTGTGACTTTGATAGCTGATATTTATACGATGAGTTTGAGCACATTGAATGCTAATGTTTTATAGCCATAACATATCTTTAGATTGTACAAATATTTTTTGAGATGAGCAATAATTTTTCCAGATACAAGTGCTACTATTTAACCCATAGCTGTTGAAGAAGATAGATTCATATTTTTCCAAAGGGTACTTATGCAGACATTTCTCTTTTAATCAAAGTAGGAAGAAACCGACCAGAATTTGAACACTGCTCTTCAGTTTCTCATTTCAAACCACTATGCATTACACCTCCTGCACATTAAAAAAAAAAAAAAATAAATAAAATAAAATAAATAAATAATTCAATCATGACAGCACTTTTATTTGGAACACGAGAGTACTTAAAAATAAAAATAGTTTTATTTCCTTCTGAAGTAAAAATGTCCCTTACACACAGATTCTAATTTAAATCTTATTGTCATATTTAAAATTTCAATTGCTTTTGTTTATTTTAATGATTTAGAACCAAAATAAAATTAATTTTTAACATGATTTTTGTAAGATACTGAAAACTTAGCAATAAATTTTTTCAGAAATTTTATTTTTTTATTTGAAAAAGATGCTTACTGTTTAGTTAAAAATAAACAATTTTCTATTTATATCTACAAAAATATTTTCATCATTGGTTTATCATTTAAAATTTATCTTGTAAAATCCATCTTCAGTGACAATCAGTCTATGTCTATTTTGTAAGAGATTGACAGCTGTTCAAATCGCTCCTCTCCATGTTACTGATCTTGTCCAAAGAATGTGCAAAGGTCAAGAGACAGTTTGGATTGCTATCATCAATGTACCTAACTGTTTTGACTGAGTAATAGTTAAGAAATAACAAAACAAGAGGATGCAGATAAATAGTGTATTGAACAGTAAATACAACAGAAGTGTGCAACATGACTTGAGAATGTGTCTTGGTTGACCTGTGTTCAGTCCCCTGAGGGCCTACTTTTCCTACTAACTTTATAGTAAGTGGAAGAGTCCACAATAGCCTCATGAAAGGGAAGACACCACAACACTAATGAATTGGATGAAACATTGGACTACATTAATCTTTAGAAACATTCCAATAAAACACTATAAAAAGAAAAATTAATTTTTTTAGAAATGAATTTGTAATCTGATGCAGGTCCTGTTCAATTTTATTTTGACAATTAAGCAGATGCAAAATAGTGGGAGTATTTTGTATGTTAAATAATAATCTTTTAATTTTTGCCCCAAAATTAATGAAAATTTATTGTACTAAGCTACACACCCTATTAACACCAACTGTACTTTGTATCCCCACACCTGTTTGCACTTCTCTCCAAAATTTGGTTTCGATTGGTCAATGTATAGCTATTTTAGAAGGTGTGACAGGCAGACTTATAAAAATCATAAAATTTTATATATAGACAGAAATAGATTCTAGTTTACCAATACAGTCAAAAAAGGCAATAGTTAAGTAATTTACAGACATATTTTCACATGTAAGAAAGGATACTCCTCTTGAGTCCTTAAAAGTTAAAATATCCCAAGAAAACTAATGCAGCATATATGTAAAAAAATGACTGTGATATTTAAGTATTTCTGCAATTGCATTATTTAAATTTTCTGCATGAGTTATCTAGGATTTTTATCTATTTTATTAACTCTATTATTAAATATAAAAAAAAGAATTAAATTTTTAAATCACTAAAAGTAAAAATATCCCAAAAAACTAACATGACTTACTCTGTCCAAATACAACAGCCATGTTTAAGTAATTTTGCAATTGCAATGTTTACATTGTCTGCAGGAAGAATCTATAATTTTTATCTATAAAATTAGTTCTCTTGTTACATGTAAGAAAGAATTTTGCTTTTTAAAACATTAAATATAAAGAAATCTGAAAGAAAACTAATGTATCCCATTCTGCCAAAAATGATATCCATATTTAATTAATTTTGCTGCTGAATTGCTTATAAATTCTATACTAGCTTAAAAGCCGCCCAATCGGGCTGCATATAAGCTAGCTCCAGCAGAGGGCTCTTGATTGGGCCTTCATCACAATAGGTAGGGAGAAGTAGATGTCATAGGCAACAATAAACTACAGAAGAACTCAAAAATGATTGCTGCATTTAAGTATTGCATTAATAGTTAAGCTTACCTTTTAAAAGTTCAATGATAATTCTTCTGCCACCACTTAATTTAAAGAAATTTGATGTACGTAGGTCCTTACTTTCTGTACAAACAATTCTTTTTATTTCATTGGTGATTTTCATTGAATTTTGCAATTAATTTCAATTGTTCTCAAATTTATTTCCAAGTTATAAAAATTGTTATTGTATAAAAAATTTGTTGCAAAAAATCATGTAAAAAAATTAGCAAAAACAAAAACAAAAACAAAAACAATCGCAAAAATGAAAACTTGGGAATCTAAAATTTTAGGATTGCAGGTCTGGATCCAGCCTGGAATGTTTTTAATTTGCTCATGGAGTTGGTCTGGTTCCAAAATGTTATGATATTTTGGGCTACGGTCTCTAGGAGTAAAGTTGAAAAAGTGTGACACAGTGACACACTGACATTCGTATTTATTATATAGAAGACTAATCTAGTATTTTTACAAAACAATTAACTCTGTTTTCACATGTATGAAAGAATTCTGTTTTTTTTTAATCATTAAAAGTAAAAATATACCAAAAACACACAAATTAAAAAATTAAAAAAAACATTGTATTGTTCTGCCAATTTACTAATGAGATATCCTTTTGAAATGGTGATAAAGCATATTCACTGATTGATGTTAAGTGATTCATCCTGTTAACATAAGATCAGAATATCTTAATAGCAAGTACTGGGTACCAGGCTGCATGACCAAAAAGTATAAAAAAAACCACAATGTGCTTTGTATTATTGAATAGACACAACATGTCGACTGTTCTTTCATGGGAGCACTCAGATTGTGGTAATAGTTTTTCTATTATTTATTTATTTATTTTAGCCCTTTCATTAGTAAACTGTTCTTTCCACAGATGTACTGGTCGAGTGAAAAGCAGGGAGTAAGTCACAGAGTTTGTACCTTTCAGCCATGGTATCATTACTATTATTTTGCATGTGTGCATACAGACTGCTCGGCTATATTTTATTCCTTTCATTCTTAATAGAAAACATAGCGGCAGATTTTAAAAATAAAATAAACAGTAAAAGAGAACAAAATCTAAATTGAAGACAGCTTCAGTAACAAAGATGTTTAAATGTCAAAATTCTGTTTTTCATCCATGTTAATTTGTTCGTTGCTTTTTACTTCATTTTTGTTTCAAATTGTCATTGTATTTATTTAATTGTGCTGAGTATTTTTATGTGCTTTTGTTTAAGTTTATGGCTGAAATATCTGTAAATTCATTATTGCTTGTTCTTAAAATATTTTATGTTATTTTTTTGTCTTTAGAATATTCCATCTTGTTATTATTTTT